CATCCATCCATCCATCCATGCACCAATCCATCCATCCATCCATCCATCTGTCGTCCATATAACTCGTGTCATTTTAAAATTTCGTGCTGATGAATAGAAAAACTCCAATACAAACACATATTTTCTTTTTAATAAAACTTAATAGATAAATCTTGATCAGAAATGACATTTTATTCCATCCATCTATCCATTATTTTTTTTTACCCGCCTCTTCCATTTTGGGTCATGGGGGTCGCTGGTGCTCATGTCCAGCTATCACTGTGCGAGGGGCGGGGTAAACCCTGGACAGGTCTCCAGTCCATCACAGGGCCACATAGAGACAAATGAGACAAACAACCATTCACTCTCTCACTCACACCTAGGGACAATTTAGAGTTACCATTCAGCCTAACATGCATGTTTTTGGTCTGTGGGAGAAAACCGGAGCACCTGGAGAAAACCCACGTATGCACAGAGAGAACATGCAAACTCCACCCAGAAAAGCCCCCGGCCCAGGATTTGAACCAGGGACCTGTTTGCTGAGAGGCAGCAGCTGTACCATTTGCGCCACCGTGCTGCCCACATTTTATTCCCAATTTTTCAAAAGGCTGAACTTTAGCCAGTATATTATCTGGAGTTTGTTAATCTGCTGTAGGTTTGATTTAGTCTGATGAATCTGATGAATCTGTTAAATATGCTCTGGCTTTTTGGGAACAGATGAAGATTAGATTTTTCGGTTTTAGTACATTTTTTTTCTTTCCTGTTTTTCAACACAGAAACTGTGAAGTACAGTGGATATGTCTCAAAGACATGGTCAAGGAATAAAAACAAAAACTAACAAAAAACATATTAGTTTAAAATCATTTTATATAAAAAAAACTAAAATATTTTTTATACTACCTCACAATAACAACATTTGAAATGACTAAAGCTGATCCAACAAATTGAATAAATAGTCCGTCATCTTAGTGGGTGTAAATCACAGGTGTTAAAACTAAGTAAAACGTTCTCTGTGGCCTTTCAAAGATTTTCACTCATAAGTTAAAATCACTTCAAAATCATGAGCCTTTTAAAAAAAAAACAACTAAACGGCACATTCATTGACAAATATGTTCACAGTTAACAGATTACTTTAAGCTTTCAGCACTACAGTGTCGCCTAGACCCCATTAATGTCTGACAGGGCAGAAGTGCCACCAAGGGGACAAAGTTGAAAATTATAAATAAGTTCAAAAATCTTTCTAATATGGAATCTACTGAATAAAATCTCAAAACGAGCTTTTCTCTCCTCAAAAACCTGCCGATGTGTTTGCATAACAAACATGGATCAGTGTCTAATACAAGTAAAAAATACACAAAATGGTAATATTTGGCCTCATATGCACATTTGGTGACAGGAATGGGTGTTAAGACAATATTTGCACATTGATTATTAACTTTTAACACACTTTTTTGCACTTCTAAAGCTTAATGTGCAGTTTATATTTATCCTCCGCTGAATGCAATACACAGTAATGTTTGGTTGTTTGTGTGCATTTTGGCTGTACTGTTAGCAAAATATCTCATGGACCGGTGGACAGATTTTAATGAAATGTTCAGAAAGCTATCAAGGCTTTTAGAGCCAATTCCATTCAAGATGGCAGCCACAGCTTAGTGACCGAGAGGAAACACAAAATTGCTTAGAGTCATTCATATGACATAATATTCTGAGCTCTATACGTAGTATAATATTTTTGGAAGGTTTAAGTTTTGTATCGATCACTGGGCATGACCTGTTGAACAAAACAACCTTCTCATTACTTCCTAAAGTATTTAAATTAATTTCTTATAAGAGTTTTTTTGTTGTTAATAATTATCTGAGTGGAAATTATACAAAGACGTACATTTTTCTGAGTTTTAGTTCTTATAGTGCAGCTTTCAGACGCAAAACTGAAAGTGAGCCTCATCTCTGTCCCAGAATTCCCTGCCTGACGATGCTCGTGTTTGACTCAGCAAGCAAACCCCACAGAAGTGAGTTTAAGGTTCAATTCCAAAAAGGGATTACCGTATTTTTTGGACTATAAGGCGCACTTAAAACCCTTTAATTTTCTTTAAAAAATGACAGTGAGCCTTATAATGAGGTGCGCCTTATGTATTATCTTTGGTTGTACTTATTGACCTCAAACCAATTTTATGTGGTTATTGTGAATGAGTTGAATAAAGTTTGACTTATCTGACTGTTTTGTTTTGCTTATTGCGCCTTATAAACTGAAAAATACGGTATATTAAACCTTTCTGCTCACCCATTCTGGATCGGATCGTCTACAAGCTGATATTGTTGTCTCCCACAACTAACAAGAGTATTACATACTAAAAGGGCATATTAAACACCTGCTGACAAGCTATTATACTGCAGTACAGCAGTCTATAGCAACAGCCAAACAAGCATAGACTCTGTATATTGTTTGACCTTCATTTGTGACCTTAACCTTAGAGCTGGGATGAAGAAAATATTGTGCAACATTCTGTCTAGTGGTGGTACAACTGTGTATTAAATTTTGTTAAATTATCTATTAGAAGTTAGGGTTCATATTCATTCAAAGACCTTGATTTAATTTTGACCCTAATTTGTGACCTTGACCCTGGAGCTGTGGTGATGAAAAGTCTATGCAACATTCTGCCTAGCGATGACGCATTGGTGTACTAAGTTTCATAAAATTTTCTTGAGTGGATCAGAAGTTATCGCACAAATAAGCAAAAATCTTGTACATTTATCCTTGATTTGTGACCTTGACTTTGAAGCTGGGGTAATGAAAAGAACACTCTCTCTAGTGGTACAACTGTGTATCGAGTTTAGTTACAGTAAATTATCCAGTGCGGATCAGAAGTTATGGCTTGGACAAGTAATGACTTTGCTTTAACTTTGACCTTGATTTATGACCTTGACCCTGGAGCTGCCAGCTTCTGCTTCTTCTGTGACTGCGTCATCAGGTCGTGATCTACAGCTTTCGCTGGGGCAATTCATAGCCGAGTGTGACGCAGCCGGGATAAAGATCAGTTCCTCCAAGGCGATGGTCTTGAGCCGGAAAAGGGTAGAGTGCCCTCTCCGGTTGGGGAGGAAGTCCTACCACAAGTGGAGGAGTTCAAGTGTCTTGGAGTCTTGTTCACGAATGAAAGAAAAATGAAACAGCTTGATAGGCAGATAGGTGCGGCGTCCGCAGTGAAGCAGGCGCTGTACTGGTCTGTCGTGGTGAAGGGAGAGCTGAGTCAAAAGGCAAAGCTCTCAATTTACTGGTCGATCTACGTTCCTACCCTCATCTATGGTCATGAGCTTTAGGTTGTGACCGAAAGAACGAGATCACTGATACAAGCAGCCGAAATGAGTTTTCTCCGCAGGGTGTCTGGGCTCTCCCGTAGAGATAGGATGAGAAGCTCGGTCATTGGGGAGGGACTCAGAGTAGAGCTGCTGCTTCTCCATGTCGAGAGGAGCCAGTTGAGGTGGCTTAGGCATCTGGTTAGGATGCCTCCTGGACGCCTCCCTGGTGAGGTGTTCTGGGCACGTCCCACCAGGAGGAGACCCAGAGGAAGACCCAGGACACACTGGAGGGACTATGTTTCTTGGCTGGCCTGGGAACGTCTCGGGATTCCCTCAGAGGAGCTGACCCAAGTGGCTCAGGAGAGGGAAGTCTGGGCCTCCCTACTTAGGCTGATACCCCCGTGACCCGACCTCCGATAAGCGGAAGAAAATGGATGGATGGATGGATGGATGGATTGATGGATGGACCCTAGAGCTGTAGTGAAGAAAAGTCTAAGTAATATTTCGCCTAGTGATGATGCGCAGGTGTACCAAGTTTCATTTTTTTTTTTTTTTGAGTGGATCAGAAGTTATGGCTTGGACAAGTAAAGACTTTGCTTTAAATTTGACCTTGATTTATGACCTTGACCCTGGAGCTGTGGTGATGAAAAGTCTATGCAACATTCTGCCTAGTGATGATGCACAGGTGTACCAAGTTTCATAAAAATAATCTTGAGTGGATCAGAAGTTATTGCACAAATAAGCAAAAACCTTGAACATTTATCCTTGATTTGTGACCTTGACCTTGAAGCTGGGGTGATGAAAAGAACACACAACACTCTCTCCAGTGGTACAACTGTGTATCGAGTTTAGGTAAATAATCCAGAGCGAATTAGAAGTTATGACGTGGACAAGTAATGCCATTGTTTATACTTTGACCTTGATTTATGACCTTGACCTTGTAGCTGAGGTGACGAAAAGTCTACACGACACTGTTTAGTGCTGAGGCATGCGCGTATCAAGTTATCTTGAAAGGATCAAAAGTTGTGGCTCAAAAAAGAGCAAGTTGACGTCCGTATGGATCGAGACTATCCCATTGTCATTCGACGGGCGTATAAGAATAAAAAGCCAAAGCAGCAGGCATCAAGCATTCCTGACAGTCAAGATAAGCCTTTAAATATTTATTTGATTGGTTTAAAACATCTAGATGTGATAAAGTGAAATGGTTGCTGCTTTAGATGGACATTTAGATGGAGCTCCTTAATGGCAGTTACCTTGATGGCTCTCACAACTATCTTACATCACGAAACGCATCATGGCAGGTTATAACCAGGTTTTATCACGAGACCATGTGGATGTGAAGATGAGCAGAAGATAGTCACCTTTCTCTGATGCGGGGGCTAAATCGATGAAGCTTCGGCATCTCTCACCTTAGAGTAAAACAGAAGAAAAAACAATTTATCGTGGCAGAACGGTGACTTATCTGTTGAATCCAACAAAGTTCAGTCAGGTCATCTGGACGGTTTCTTTATTTTTTTGCTGAGATGTTTCGTCCTTCATCCAAAGGATTTCTTCAACTTCTTGAATGTTGGTGCTTTGAACCACTTTGTCATGGCTGCCTCAGAGGAGTTGAAAGAGGAGAGGGCGGGCCCCGAAGGCCACCTGATCACCAGCAAACTGTTTGTTTGTTTTTTACTATGGGAGTGTGCTGCTTGTGGCTCCTCAGACTGAAGAAGTCCTTTGGATGAAGGACGAAACGTCTCAGCAAAAATCAAGAAACCATCCAGATGACCTGACTGAACATTGTTGGATTTGTACCTGGATTTTTGAGCATGAACTTTGGTATCTGTCCGATCCTGCATGCGGCTGTTCAGAAAATCTTGACATTACGAAACAAAACTCAAATCATGTGACACAAATGATGTTTTAAAAGCTAAAATCTGTGTCCGCATTCGTTTCTGTCCAGGTTGTCAGATCAGCCGAAGGCGCGATTTGGTAAATCCTCACATCAGCAGCAGCAGCAACAACAACAACAACAACAACAACAACAACAACAACAACAACAACA